GGGGCAAGTCTTTCATTAGCGCCCCCACAAATCAATCCATAGTTCAATGCTCTAGACAAACTGTTCCCTTGCCTATGTTTTCCCCTCCTGATCCACCTTCAAATCACCTAATTCTCCAGTGCTGCTTTGGTAATTTAGGAGCCACTTCTGGGCTTGCTTCAATTTTCAAGGCGTTGCGCCTTCTAATCTGTCATGGAGGAAAGACTTGAGTGATTTCAAGCCTACACTCTATGGTGGTTCAGGAGGTGTGCTGCCGCACCAAAAGAAGGGAGAACAGAAGTGGGTCTAAAGCCACTGACCCACCATGGAGGCCCACCACATAGCAATACATTATACAGCAATGCAGAATACCACCAGCTATAGAGGACTATAAATCCCAGCAATACATTATGTAGCAACGCAGGATAATACGAAGCTATAAAGGTGAAACTCGAATAATTAGAATATCGTGCAAAAGTAATTGCAGTAAGTGCTGCAAAAGGGGCCCAAACCAAGTACTGAGTACATATGCATGCTTGTACTTTTCAGAGGTCTGATATTGTTCTAGGTACAATCCTTGTTTTATTGATTGCATGTAATAATCTACTTTTTTGAGGTTGTGGATTTGGGGTTCTTGGGGTTTTCATGAGCTGTAAGCCATAATCATCACAATTATGACAAATCACGGCTTGAACTATCTTGCTTTGCATGTAATGAGTCTATCTCATATATTAGTTTCACCTTTTAAGTTGCATTAGTGAAATAAATGAACTTTGCACGATATTCTAATTATTCGAGTTTCACCTGTATACTCTGTGTTGCTCCAGGGTGGTGACATGTCTCCAGGGTCTCAGGAGGGCTGTGCAGGGTCTCAGGATGGCTTTGTGGAGTCTCAGGACGGCTGTGCGGAGTCCCAGGAATGCTGTATGGGGTCTCAGGAGGGCTGTGCAGAGTCTCAGGAGGGCTGTGCAGTCTCAGGAGGGCTGTGGGGAGTCTCAGGCGGGCTGTGGGGAGTCTCAGGAGGGCTGTGGGGAGTCTCAGGAGGGCTGTGCAGGGTCTCAGGTGGGCTGTGTGGGGTCTCAGGTGGGCTGTGTGGGGTCTCAGGTGGACTGTGCAGAGTTTCAGGTGGGCTGGGGGTTCACAGGTAGCCTGTGGGGGTTTCAGGTGGGCTGTGCGGAGTCTCAGGTAAGCTTTGGGGGTCTCAGGTGGTCTGGTGGACTGT